AGCTTTAGGAAGGGGGCCCCACGTGGCGCAAGTCCCCCGCCCGAACTCGAATTTGCCAACTCCACTGCTCGCGCGCGCATCCCACCCACCGACGACTTGGTTTGTCCAGCCCACGAGGTGGCGACGGCGACGACTGCTCGACGCCGGCCGGCGCGCATCCGCGGCCGCGCTAGCGCGCGCAGGCTCGCGCGCAGAGCGGCCGTCTAGTCTGGCGCGACTGACGCGGCCGCGGTGGCTCTGACCGGCGGGCGCCCCCCAGCGCGTCTCGCAGACGGCGTTGACGCGCGGGCGCATCGGCGCGAGTCGGCGGCTCGAGCGGGCGCGGAATCGCGGCGACGGCGACGACGGCAGACGCGACGATGACAGCAAAGATGCCGGCGACGACGACGACGACGACGACGACGGCAAGGCCAATGACGGCGCCGAAACTGAGCACGCCGACGACGACCATGGGGCCCACCCATCAGCGATGAAGATTTTACAAGATTTCGACGCGCGCGCGCGGCCGACGCGGACTGGGGCCGCGGCCCCCCCTGCCCCCCAGCACGCGCCCAAGGGCTTGCGGCTGCTTTGGACGCGCGCGCGCGAGAGAATCCCGTTTGGTCGCATTTGACGAGAATTTCTGGTAACCAATATTTGTTCAAGAATTCGCAAGGTTGAAGAATGCGTTCTGCGTTTTCGGGGCGCTCGATCATGAGACCCTTGCGAAGCCGATGGTTTCTGAAAGGCGTTGGCGCGCGCGCGCGACGACGCGCCGGCGCGCGCCCCGCCCCATCTGCGGCAAGGGATCATTTCACATTGTGATTAGGGGGTGGGCGCGCACAGTGTTATCTGCAGACGGTGGCGAGGGGGGGGGTCGGGCCCTCTTCGGCGGGGATAGTGCGAAGTCATTCTTAGAGTGAACGATGGGGCAGGGTCGCCCGCAAATCGCACCGCCCCAGGGGCTGGCCATAATCCCGAAGGGAGGGGGGCGATAGATCTGCAATCTTTTTGAGACAGGAAACCCAGTGCGGGGCAACGCACGCGGCTCAATTCACCCTGCTCAACTTGAAATTGCCAACCCCTTTGCTCGAGCAATCACCCCCCCCCCGGCCCGCGCGCAACATGGTTTGCGGAGCCCGCGCGGCAGCGATTGCGCGGAGGCTCGCGCGCGGGGCTGCCGGCTAGTCTGGCGCCGACCGCCCTGGCGCTTCCCAGCGCGTCTCGCAGGCCGCGCTGACGCGCGGGCGCTACGGCGCGAGTCGGCGACTCGAGCGGGGCGTTGACGTCGGCTTGGTCGGGTCGGCGCGAATTTTCATCGGAAGTAAACGACGGGGCAGCATCGCGCGCAAGTTGCACATCCCCAGGGGGAACGGCTAAACGTACGCGCGTGTGAGGGGAGGGGTAGATCATACGAATTGTTTTTAAGAAGAGGAGTATACGTGGTACAAATTCTTGAGCCTTCGCGTATCCCCACCAGCCCATCCAAAAAAGATGCCCAGGCGAATTGCGGTGATCAGGGAAGTAAGGGAGCATACAGAGTAGCAAAGGGCTGGGGGACCCGTCTTACCCAAGGGGGCGAGGATGGAGGAGGAGTCGGAGGAGGAGGAGGAGGAGGAGGAGGAGGAGGGGCAGCAGGTGGGAAAAGTGGGAGGAGGGAGGAGGGAGGAGGGGGAATAGGCGGATGATGAGGAGGAGGGGGAGGAGGAGGAGGAGGAGGAGGAGGAGGGGGAGGAAGAGAAGAGGAAAGGAGGAGGAGGAGGATGAGGCTGATGAAGTGGAGGAGAAGGAGGAGCAGTAGGCCGACAAGGAGGAGGAGGAGGAGGAGGAGGAGGAGGATGAGAAAGATGAGAAGGAACAAGAACAATGACGTGCACAAGAGCCTCCTAGGATGTCCCGTGGAAGTTGTTTTGGAGTCCTCTTGGAGCGCCTGGGGGATTCTTGGATGCCTCGGGGATCCTCTTGAGGCCTCTTGGGGGTCTAGGGAGCCTCTTCAGGGCCTCTTGGGGACATCTTGGGGCCTCCTGGGCGCCTCTTGAGGCCCTCTTGGGGCGCTCTTAGGAGCCTTGGGAGCGCTCTTGGGGCCATCTTGGAGGTGATCGATCAAAGGAAGGGGGTCCCCCAATTAGCCTCCCCCCTCGGGAGCCTCTAACATCGGCCAAAACCCTAGTAAAACCGATGATGTAGGCTTCCTCGCCGAGGCCGTTTTGGACGCTCCAACTACCAGCGAAACCCCCCGTCCAGGTCCAGGGGAGGGGGTTAGGGGGAGGGGTAAACCCCTCCCCGAAGGGGAAGAAGGGAAGATGGAAGAGGAAACTCCCGGAACCACCTACGCCCAGAGGGCTGGTGGGATTATACGGCACAACCTACGCACGCAGCACCACTACATGTGGTGCGACCTACGTTGCGCAACTTACGCGGTGCAAGTTACGCGATGCAACTTATGCGGCGCCCGTTCCACTGCTCGCGCAATCATCATACCCACCCACCCGCAATTGGGTTTGCAAAACCCATGTGGCGGCGATTGCGACGCGTGCTTGGAGTTGGCTGGCGCATCTTTGCAGCCGCGCACGCTCGCGCGTGTAGCGGCCAGACATATTGGCGCCGCCGACGCGGCCGTACTGGCGCTGACCGCCGGGCATTTCCCAGGGTGCGAGTCGGCGACTTAGGCGGGCGTGCTATCATGGCAACGTCGATAACGATAGATGCGATGATGGTGGTAGCGATGCTGGCGGCGGTGATGACTACGACGACGGCAAGGCCATCAACGGCGCCGATGCTGATCACGCCGACGACGACGGCGTCTTCGCGTCGGCGATGAAGGTTCCGGAGGGAGTTTGACAGGCGCGCGCGGCCGACGCGCGAGAGTGGCCCGCACGGTAGTAATCGACACGGATCGCGCCCTTCCCCCCCCCCCGAAAGCGCGCAAGGGCGCTCGTATGATTTCGACGCGCGGCGCGAGGGAGCCGTTTGGCCCATTTGAATGAAAATCTTGAAAATTGACGTTGCAATGCCATGTGTTTTTATATGTTTGCGGGAAACTTGCTTTTGAAACCCCTGCGGAACCTAAGCGCACGCGCGCGCGGCGACGCGCGCGTGCAATTCGCGTTGATATTGTGTGGGGGCTTCGTGCGACAGAACGCGCGCAAGGGCGTTCGAACGATTTCGACATGCACGCGCGAGAGGCCAGTTTGTTAGCATGTTTATGTTGAAAAAAGCTGCCCCACAAAAGCCGTATGAGCCCGAACGTTTTTCTTGTTTTGAAATTTCGCGTTGCGAAACCATGTGTTGTTTTTATATGTTGTCGGGGCACTCGATTTCGGAATCCTGGCGGAACCTACGGTGTTTGAAACATTTCAGCATGCGCGCGCGACGACGCGCGCGTTTGGGTTTCGTCCCATATGTTGTAGTGGGTTTTCGAAAACGTATGATTTGTGATAAACGACTGCGCGCGCATAGTAGTTTTTGGGGAAGATGAGAGGGTACGAGGGAAGATGGGACATAATCATACGCAAATTGCAATACGGGAAGGAGCACGGTTAATTCCAGGAGTTGCAGGTCTTAATATTGTTAAAGAAACGTGATATATGTTGTGCAATGTTCGTGATGTTATCGATGTGGTGCCATGAGTGCAAAGCAACGTAAAGCAACTTACGTGCTGTATTTTAGCGGCGGCGACGAGTGGCGACGGCGCCGACGTAGCCGCCATGCCGGGTGTCAGGCTTTGACGACGGGAGGCGACGAGGCGGCGACGTTGGCGACATAGCCGCCAGACCGGCCGTCAGGCCGTGACGACGGGCGGCGACGAGGCGGCGACGGGGCAGCGACGGTGGCGACTATAGCCGCCACAAGCCGTCAGGCCCATTTCCTTAAAGAAGAAGTGAGAACCCCGAAGTGCAAGCATTGTTAGCGGTGTGGGTATGTATATATATATATATATATATGCATACATACATACATACATACATACATACATACAGACAGACGTACGTACGTACGTACGTACATACATATATACATACATACATACATACATACATACATACATACATACATACATACATACATACATACATACATACACACACTCTCACCGCCCAGGGCTGTGGGATCGGAATTTTGAACCTCCATGGGAGCTCCAGGGGCACAGAACAGCACATGATGGCCTCCAGATTGCCCAAATCGGCCCCACGACGCCCACGGCAGGGCCCATAACAGTCAAAGATGCCCGCGAAACGGCCCGTGATGACAGACGGCCCAAAAACATGATGACCCTGTTTCGGTTCGGTCCAGCCCGGTCCGGTGCGCGGGTCGGTTCGGCAGGTCTTGTTCAGATTGGAGTTTGGTTCGGTCTAGCCGCTCCAGTTCGAGTCAACTGGCAAGTCCGGTTCGGCTGTGCGGTTCGGCTGGTTCGGTCGGGTTCGGCCAGTTCGGCTCGTCCAAGGGAAGTTGGCGAGGGGGGAGGGTAAAGAGAAGACGGAGGAGGACGTTGAGGAGGAGGAGAAGTAGGACGGGGAGGAGACTGGTGGAATTTGCGAGAGTGGAGCGGTGAGGAGGAGGAGGAGGAGGAGGAGGAGGAGGAGGAGGAGGAGGAGGAGAAGGTGGAGACCCTAGCGAGCTGGACAACGGTTCATCAGGTCTAGACGTGGGGGGGGAGGGTCAAGCCCAGGGGGAGGGAGGTCCTGATCAGGGGGGGGAGAGAGAGAGAGAGAGAGAGAGACAGCAAGCAGAGCTAAGGCGCTTCACGACGACCGCACCGGGGAGAATGAACCAGGGCACGAGCCCAAGAGCGAGTGACAGGATACTGCCGTTATCGTCGTCGTCGTAGTCATCGTCGTCGTCGTCGTTGTCGTTGTCGTCGTCGTCGCCATCGTCGTCTGATGTCTCCTTCGCCTCCTTACCTTCCGTCTTTCCCTCACCCTTTCTCCTCCACTTCCTCATCATGTTCCTCTTCCTCACCCTCACCCCTCCTTCCCTCCTGTCTCATCCCCCTCTCCTCGTCCTCCTTCCTCCCTCCTCAGGTCGTGACCGCCATCTCTGGCGTGCAGGTGGACGAGCTGATCCAGCTGGACGTGCAGTGGCTGCCCGAGGAGAAGGGCGACTCCATGTCAGGCGGCGCGCCACGGCGGGTTGAGGAGTGGGAGAAGAGGAGCGCGAAGAGGATGACGAGGATGAGGACGAGGACGAGGACGAAGACGAGGAGAGGGAGATGGTGAGGAGGAGGAGACTGCTCCTCCTTCATAGGTGTTACTGGTCGCCTCTCTTCCCTGACTCTGTCTGGTCCAGAAGATGTTCCGCCATCCCCACGTATTGTTTTCACACACATGTTTTATACATTGATTTGTCCCATGTGTTTTTCCAATCCGATCTTTTTTGGTCCTTCCCAATGCTGCTCCCGCTGCAGCGCTGGCCTCATTTCCGCGCTTCTGGTCCTTCAACTCGTGCTCCCCCTGCAGCGCTGGAGTCGTTTCCGCGTGTTCGATCCTTCAAAATGGTGTTACCGCTGCAGCGCTGGTTAGCAATGGTCTCATTCGTAGGCGGGAAGCAGTTCCGTATCCGTGGCCTCGCGAGCCGGGCCCCTGAGCCGCGATCCCGCGGATATTAGGCGTTTTGCTCGCGGATGCCCTGCGCGGAACGTAGATGGGCGTCCGCGTATCCGCGTGATCGCGCCCTGGAGTGCAGACCGCGAGGGCGCGGGTACCGACATGTTCGCCGCTCGTGACTCGTGCCATGCCTCGCGCGCCCTTTGGCGATCGCTGTTCCCTTCGATATCCAACTGTGCGAATAGAGAGGGGCTCTACGCAATGGCAAGGGACGGGAGGGATGAACGGATATGGCGCGAGCGCACCTAGCTTGCCTCTCTAACTATCTTCGTTCTCCCCCAAATGAGCTGCCGCGCGCAACATGGCTCCGGATGAGATCAGGCGGAAGGCTCGCTCGCTCGCTATATGCGCATGCCCAGTTCTCGAGGCGCAGAGGGGAAAGGAAGAGGACGCAGCGCAGGAGGAGGAGGAGACTGAATGTGCTCGTCATGCACTGCGACCCAATCAGGGGAAGGAGGAGGAGGATCGAGATTTTGGAGGACGAGGGGGAGGCGGGAGGGGGAGGGGAACGAGGCGGCCGACATCGAACCCCCCGCGCCTGTCAGAAAGCTATGATCGTTTAAAGGTTGTACGATCCACGCGGTGTGAGAAACCAACGCCCAGGCCCTCACGACAAGAACCTGCCGTAAACGAATTCCGGCGGCAGGGAGGGAGTTGGAGGAGGAGCGAGGTAGGGTTTGTTTCGATTTGATCGGTCCGATCCGATTTCGTTTTCGGTTGGTGCGATCCGCTTCAATCCGATTACGACATTCCGAGGATATTGCCCGATGTTGTATGGCGTTGTTGTGGTGCACCTTGGCGCGGCTGATCCGATCCGAATCCAACTCGTGCGGTGCACATTATTGATCCGACCCGATTTCGCGAATCGATGTTCGAAGGATTTGATGATTGTTCTCCAGTGGGCGTTGCGGGTATCAAGCTGAATATTTCGACGTAAATCTACGTGGCTCGTTGCAAATCTTGACAAATCGTAATGAATCTGGAGACATACAGTGGAGATGTCGTGCAAACGCCAGGGCGAGTGATTCGATGTTGACCCATCCTGGATCTAAAGGCGGGCAAAGGATACGTCCTGCAACGGCGTGGTGCGATACGGCATTGCGAGGTTGGCCTGTGAATCTGCTCTTGAATCGGCTCAAAGACGGTCCCTGGACCTCTCCCGGGGTTCATCCTGACCATTTGTCGACGCGGATTCAGCAGCGGCGACAAGAAGCGTCCGAGGGGGGTGAGAAGATTAGTTGCGTGTGTTTGTGTGTGTGTTGTGTGTGTCTGTGTTTGTGTGTGTGCTTGTGTGTTTGTGTGTATGTGTGTGTTTGTGTGTTTGTGTGTGTGTGTGTCTGTGTGTGTTTGCGTGTGTTTGCGTGTGTGTTTGTGCGTTTGCATGTGTCTGTGTGGTTTTGTGGTTGTGTGTGTGTGTTTGTGTGTTTGTGTGTTGCGTGTGTGTTTGTGCGTTTGCGTGTGTCTGTGTGTTTGTGTGTTTGTGTATGTGTGGGTTGATGTGTTTGTGTGTTGTTTGCGTGTGTTTCTGCCTGTGTGTTTGTGTGGTGTGTGTTGTGTGTGTGTTGTGTGTGTCGTGTGTCTTGTGTGTGCTGTGTGCTGTGTGCTGTGTGTCGTATGTGTTGTGTGTATGTGTGTGTTGTATGTGTGCGCTTGTGTGCGTGCGCCTGTGTGTTGTTTGTGTGTGTAGGTTTCATGGCCGCCGCCACGAACCCTGCCAGGTCCCACGGCTGCTTCACCTCCTCTGGATGCGTCCCCCGCCCCCCTTCTTCTGCGCACATGCCTCGGGCAATGACGTGCCACGCGTCCCCCCCGCTTGGCCCCTTAGGAACAGGCGCACCCCCGCCGAGGGAGGAACCAGCTCGAAGCGCCCGCCGGGCCCGCGCGGGAAGCCGTGCAGCCAGGCTTCCCGGGGGGGTTCGGAGGGGAGAGTCGCGTGGCATTTCCTGGCGGTGGACGGGGAAGGCTTCCACGCCGCGTCCAGCACGCGGTGGCATCTCCTGGCGGTGGACGGGGGAGGCTTCCAGCGGGAAGGCGGCTTCCACCGCCGCACGCACGCAGAGAAGCGCAACCTCTCGTCCACCACGCAGCGACGTTTCCATCGGAGAGGCCACCCTCGGCACGCTCACGGGCAGAATCCCGCCGGCGCTTCGCGCGGAGGAAGTCCCGAGGCCGGGAGGAGGAGCCAGCGCCGACCCCGCAGAGCAGTGCGCACTTCCGAGGGCGCGTGTCTTGCGCAGCTCCTTGCCGCTCCGGACTCCGCCCCCGCGGCTCTCCCCTGCCTTGCCTTCGGCAGGCCTCCTCGGGGCAGCCCGCTCGTCGAAACACAGTGCGGGATTCGGGGTCGCAGTCCAGTTCTGGTCGGCACGACGCTTGGGCGCCCTCCCACAGTGCACCAGTCGAAGATCTTCGAGAAAGAAAAAACGCCATAAACAGAAACTTTTGGCGATCCGCGCGGATATCTTGGATCCGCGCTGGGCCCCCGGGCGGCGCCTCCGCCCCTGGCGCGCTCCGCGCGCAAGAGAGGGTGTACTAGCCCAGATTCGAGAAATCCGCGCGGACCTCCGAAAGTTAATGTTTTTGAGCCGTTTTTCCTCCCTCGAACAGCACACCCGTCGAGGATCTCAAGCCTGTGATTGAGGTACCTCGTTTTGTCAGGCGCCCTGGGTGAGCTTTCGGCGACCACGCCGCCTCTTCCGACTGGCCTGGCTGCGCCGCTCCATTCCGAGGAGCTGGCGCCCGACGCGAGAGAAGTTGGCCGGAGCTCAAGAAACGGGGGTCAGTGCAAACGGGGTTCCGTCAGAGCGCCAGATCTTGCAGGACCTTGCCTGCAGAGCCAGGGCTGCCGAGCAAGGTGATGCAACTTGGGCGCGTCCGACCGTGACTAAGAAGCGAGTGTGCTACTGAACGTTTCTGAATCATCAGTCGGGCGCCACATTGATATAAAAAAAAGGAGCCGCGCGACGCGTTGGACGCGCTTCCCTTCCCCGAGCGGGTCAGGGAAAGGCGGTGGAAAAGGAGCTCAAGAGACGGGGGTCAATGCAAACGGGGTTCGGTCAGAGCGCCGTTTACGGTCGATCAGTGAATTGTCCGTGAATTGTGAATTGTCGATTAGTGAATTGTCCGTTTTCGGTTCTCGAGAGGGCACCGCGGCCGTCATTCCCAGACTTGCGCCCGCCAGGTTTGGGCCCGAAGTCGTTTTCACTAAACCACGTTTTACTAAAGGGGTTCGGTCAGATCTTGCAGGATCTTGCAGGATCCTGCCTGCAGGGCCGGGGCTGCACTGACCTGGGCTTGGGTGGAGGATTCTGCAGGATCTTGCAGGACCTCGCAAAGCCTGACTGACCCGGGTTAGCGTTGACCCGGGTCAGTAGATGCCCGAAGTTGGGACTGTTCAGCCACGCGCAGAGGGGGGTTGGGGGAGGCGGGGAGGGCTTCTTAATTAGCAGAACCCCTGCTTCTTAGAAGGCGCGGGCCTCGTCTATAGTCGTAAGGCCGGCGCCTTCCAAGAAGCAGCCTCCTTCTAAGAAGCCCTCCCGTTTCCTCCACCCCCTTGTGCGCGCCGCCAACGAACGCCCGAGAGCTTGCGCGTCGCACCATGCGAAGCCGCGCGCGAAGGGGAGGGTGGATGTCATGGCCATTGCCACGAGGTCTCCCCAGATTTCATCGGCTCTAGGCCTCCTAGACGGGGTCGGAGCAGCCGGGGCCAGAGGATCGAGCCGCATCGCCGATGCATCGCCGATGCGGCTCGATGTGGGGCCCGATTTGCATCACGTCGACATCGCCGATGCATCGCCGGCGTCGACGATACACCACCAGTGCATCACCGATGCATCACCGATGCATCGCCGATGTTTCGGCGATGCGGCGCAATCCTCCGACCCCATCTAGGAGGCTTGTATCGGCCGCGCACGTCCTTCGGGCCATAATTTTCGGGTTTAGCCAGGACCCCCCCGTAAGGGGACGCGGTTAGTGGTAGGGCCACGGAGCCCCTAAATTGGCCAGGGTCAATCAACCAGGTCTGCCGTAGTTGGTGGTTTTCGGGTGACGGCAGTTCTGGATAGTGGCACGGGGCGGGGGGGGCGTCCCCCAGTACACATCAGTAAACCAGGTCCCATCAAACCCAGTTCTGCCAACGCCCGAGATTTGCCAGCACCCCTCCTCTTGGACGCCCCCCTCCCCTGGACGCCCCCGAGCGATGTGGTCCTGTTCTGTGCAACCCAGTCGCGTGCTCCTCGCCCGCTGCCGGGCCGCGGGGCGTGGGGCCTCATGTTTTTGGGGAGGTGGTCTCGCGGGCTGGGCCCAGGCGGGAGGAGAGCCGAAGAGGAACTGATCGATCCCATAGCGATCGTTTCTCATATTCCTCAAGTCGGGCCTGTCCCTCTACAGGAGGAATTCTCAAAAATAGTCAAACAATAGTCTGGAGCCGATGTTTGTTATATGGTTTGACCATTTGTGGGCATGTTTGAATATTTTGTCTTTCGCCCAGAATCCGCCTGTAGGGGGACATGCCCGACCTAAGGCTGGGCTGAGGCGGGAGAGGAGCCGAAGAGGAACCAGTTGATCACTTAGCACCAGTTGATCACTTAGCGATCGATTTCGTTTCGCCGATCGGCGCGGGCCCTCGCGCCCCCCTCTCCCCCCACCCCATGGAGTGGATTGTGGCTGTTGTCGGCGCCTTTTTCAATCGAGGGTGGACAGAGCCCCCACCCTGACACGTCGATTAATGAATTGTCCGTTTTCAGTTCTCGAGAGGGCCTCGCGGCCGTCATTTCCCAGGCTTGCGCCCGCCAGGTTTGGGCCCGAGGTCGTGTTCACTAAACCACGTGTTACTAAAGGGTTCTGTCCATCCCCGATTCAAGCAGGGTCTCCCCCACAGGACGCGTTGTCGCAAGCAGTCGCAATATACAGAGGTCTGGAGCCAGACCACCCCCCCTTCGATCCAGTGTCGAGACGCCGAATAAGAAAACGTTCACGTAAACATGAACTTCAGGAGGTCCGTGCTGAGTTTTTAGATCGGCGTTGGGCCTCCTTGACGACGCATGAGAGGGGGGTCGCGCGAGGGCGCAAAGGTAATCGTGCGGGGCGCGATGCGCGAAGTTTGGTGGCCTTGGAGAGAGAGAGAGAGAGAGAGAGAGACGCTATGGTGATCTAGGTGTTGCTCGCTTCTCGAGAGCCTGCCGAGGCTCATCCTGGGCCTCTCGATCGCAGTGTTGGAGGCGCTCGGTGATTCTCGGCGGCCCCCTCGGCCATCTTCGGATTGTCCTCTGCTGTTTTGGGAAGGCGTCTTGAGGTCCTGACGTCCTGTGTGGGGTTCTCTGAGGAGCGTTTAGCCAGGGACCTCTGGGGTGCTTAGCAGCTCTGGGGGGCAGGGCGGCCATGTGGCCGTCTCGGGCGCGCGTCTTGGGCGCCTTGGGGGAGTCTAATTGGGTGCCTCGCGGGCCACCTGGGAAAGGGCGCAAGTCAGTTGCCGAAGAACAGTTATGAATGTGTCCGCCATCTGGGACGCTTGTCCCAGGGCAGCTGGAAACGTCGTATACCCTCACGCGCCACCATAGGGGTATAAACTGTCCAGCCGCCCAGGCGTCTCCGATGGCAGAAAAGCTTATTTCATACCGTTCTTCGTCCGCTAAGGGAGGAAGGGTGGGCGAAGGAAGACGTCTCGTCTGACGGTCCCTGAAGGGCGGAACGCCTCGCTGGAGCACGGCGGAGGGACGGGGAGTGGAGGAGGAGCAAGCACCAGTGGTTCACCCGCGAATGTCAGAGAGGGGGATGATTTTCCTGGCTGTGTTTCACCCTCCCACTCCCCCTCTGTGCGCCAGAGTGATGGAAGAGTCCACCCATACAGCCAACCCGCATAATAAGGATGGACAACCCTCCCAAGGGTACCCTTGCATCCTTGCCTCCCCTGTCCATCCCTGGCCGCCGCCTTCGTTGGCCGCGCCCCGCTCGCAAAGTGTCAACATGGCCTCCCAAGGCCCCTGCATCCTTATCGTGCATCCTAATGATACGGGTTGACTGCACCCAAGGGCACCCTCGATGGCGCGAAGTTCTTCCGATTCCTCCTCGTCCTCCTCTTCTCCCTTGGGAGGCGGCGCGAGAGCGCGAAGTTATTCGCATTCCGCGCAGCGTGCAGCGCGAAGCGCGAAGTTTGGAGCCCTTGGCACCCGGGTCTGAATCCGCAAAAAGGTGCATCACACAAGGCGGGTTGATCTTCGAGGTGCACGAGCCCATATGGATTTCGCCCTGAGCCCTCCACCCTGACTGTTGACGCGCTCCTCCTCCTCCTCCTCCTCCTCCTCCTCCTCCTCCTCCTCCTCCTCCTCCTCCTCCTTCTCCTCCTCCTCCTCCTCCCCTGGATGTCATGGTGCTCAGGGGTTGACTATACCGGGGCCAGGACCCGTGCGCGGCAGGCTCGTGTCGCGCCGCCGCGGCGGCGGCCCGGGGGCTCGGGCGTTCCCAGGCGGAGCGCCGGCGGCGGCCCGGAGTCGGCCGACGGCGAACGGTTTTTGTTGCGCACTCGGACAGCTGCCATCGCTCAGGTTTGCCGTAAGTTCGGGCCTGTTCCTCTACAGGAGGGATATTCACATATAGTCAAGACATAGTCTGGGGACGATGTTTTGACTATGTTCTGGCATTTGGGAAGCATATTCTGGGGCACTTTTTATGTTTCTGTAGGGGGACAGGCCCGACCCTGAGGTTTGCACGAACGATTCGACGATCGCTCAACGAATCGGTCGCATTCGACGCTTCGCGACCGCAAATCGGTTCGAATGCGACTGTCGTCAAGGTTGGCGATTGTTTGAACCGTTCGAACAAGGTAGAACGATCCATGGGCTTTAAGAAACAAACGCCAAAGTCACGGCACGGCCCTGCCGTGCTGTGTTTCGTTGGTTGTTGGTCTCTAATGTTTAGGCGAAGCGTGAGCAGGATTGTTTCGGTGAGTGTGCCCATCCAGGCTGGCAAACAATGAATGGCCAAAAACGTGGCTGACATGTTTCGGGGTTCCCCCTTCGTGATCCTCTCTGTTCCTCGTCGTCCTCGGTCTCCTCGTCGCTCATCCGTGCTCCTCTTGGACTCCCAACGCGAGGACTCGAAGTGACGGTGAAGTTCCCCGAGATGATGATGCTCTGAACTTGTGAGATGTGCGGGAGGAGGAGGATGAGGAGCGAGGATGAGAAAGAGGATGATGAAAACGACGACGACCAGCGGTGCGAAGACGGAAGAGGAGGAAAGCGACGACGACGAGCAGTGCGAAGACGGAAAGTTGAGGAGGAGGGTAACGCGGAAGAGCAGGAAGAGTAGGAGGATGAGGATGTGGAGGCGGATGAGGAGGAGGAGAATTCGGCAGGAAGAGGGGGCGGACGAGAAAGAGGGCAGGGAGGACAAGTAGAGGAGGCATGCAGGAGGACGACGAGGAGAAGTGACAGGTGGAGGAGAGGGACGATAAGAACGAGAACCGGATAGAGCGGGCATGAGAGGAGTTTTAGAGATTCAGATCTCTCGCGAAGCGAGTTCGACTAAGATTAGCCATCGACTGACTGCCCAGCCTTCCCCCACGCCTTGGGTGGGAGGCCTCGGCTGATGCGGTCGAGGTACTCCTTGCCCGTCCTGGTCGGAGTCTTGCATTTCTGCGCGAGACCCACTATCCTGGACTGGCCGATGCACCCACAAGTGGAACAGAACCAAACTGACAGGGATTCATGGAACACCATGCTGTGGGATAGAGGGACCCGAACCGTGTGACTGGTGCACCTCACGAGCTGAAAACATTCAGAAGCCAAGAACTCCCCCCTCGCAGCCGCAGACGTGGACCCGCGGCAGACTTGGTATTTCATGCCGCATCACTTATAGCGTGGGCCGAGCAGAAAAGGGCCACCGCGGCGGGATGGGGGGGGTGCGAGCGGGAAGCACGAGCAGCGGCACGAGGGCCCGTTTTCCCCTTCCTTCGAACGATCAAGCTCGGCAACCTCTAAGGTCGCCCGTAAAAGTCGATGGCAGATACGACAGGCTTCATCTTCAACAACTCAGACCCTATGACGTTGGTCCGCGGGAACTCTGGCTTTCAAAGCCGCTTCCCCCACAAGGATATCCGCAAAAAGATTCCCCTCGACCATCCATCGGGGGGTGTTCCGTTGAAGGATATCCGCAGGCTCTAAGTGGGAGGGCACTTTGAGGACGACAATTTCACCAGGTTCCCCACACTGCGCATTTAGATCCTTGCCTATCTGACGCCACACGTCTAGGTTGGAGCCCCTGGGGTTGGTGTAGGTCCTACCCCACCACCCCATGCAGACCTCATCGTTATCTGTCACGAAAACGAGCGGGCCACGAGTGAGACGGACTGCGACCGAGAAAGCCAGCAATTCGCCTCTGGCAATTGTTTGGACCACACCAGGGAGAAGACCGAACACAAAATTGGCACGATCATCGGAGCGCCATTTAGATGCATCGACAACCGCAACCCCAACACGGCGAAGCCGAGGGCCGTGGGTATCGGGACCTCCTGAAGCGTCCCCATGCAATATAACAGGGTTATCAACCGTGCCCACGCCAAAATAAGTGGGCCTTACTTCCATCGCATCTGGATGGACAGAGCAAATCCAGGATGTACAACGATGTTGTAGTATACCCTCCCGTCCAAAGTCCCCTCCTCATACGTCTCCCGAGGCCTTCTTGATCACAACAAGCAGCGCCCCACTGAAACACGAGCACCACCTGGGCCTGCCATGCGGGCGAGAGCTTCGCGTGTGAAAGGATCTGCCCTGCACCCTTCTAGAGAGTTCCATCAGAACGAACGCAACAAGGTAGCATCAGACAAATCATCGAACCGCCCTGCGAGAACCCCGCTGTTGTGAATGGGCCGCCTCCCTCCACCCCCACCCCCACCCTGCTGCGGAACTGTTGAGCACGTTCACTGGCACTGAGCGTGATGCAGACCGAAGCAACACATGTTGAAAAGGAACCGCCCTCCCTCCGTGGAGTCGTTGCATCTGTTTAGTGCTAGTGTAAGAATCCGCGCGCGCGGGGCACACTTTGAAGAGGGGCCGCCATCCATCCACGGAACCGTTGCAAGTGTCACGGCGGAGGTGCGCAGAGTTGCGAAGGCGCTAGCCCCATTTTGAAAGCCAACGCACTCCCTCCACCATTGTACCTATTTCAGTATGTGTAAGACGAATGTGAGCAGCGCTAAGGCGATGCCTCCATGTTGAAAAGGAGCAGCCCTCTACCGCTGCCATAGATGCAAGATGTGAACACACATGTGCACGGCGCTAAAGCGAGAGACTCGTTTTGACCGCCCATCCATTTCCATAGCGGCTGCAAGCCTCAAAGACGGATGCGCGCGGCGCCAAGGATAGAGTCCCACGTTGATAATCAGGTTTCAGACGATCATTGGATCGACACGCCCGGCCCGACCTACCAACACGCTTGGGAGTGCGACAGGGAGGATACACAGATACTTATGTTTCTCTAGCTGTATGTATATATACATACATATCCAGCTACTTGCGACCGTGCCTAGCAGCAGCGCATTAGGCAGGAGGCTGAGTGCAGGAACCGCGCAATTCCACCGAGTGGTCTGATCAAGACGGGTCGTGATTTCCACCTCGTACAGTGGGGGCCGTGCCAAGAAACACCTTGCTCGCATCCAGGGTGCCCTGGGTTTCTTGAGTTTCGCTGGTTTTGCGATGGAAAGCGCGAAGTGTCCACGCCAAAAATCAATGGACGTCCTGGGGTCTCAGGGTTGGGTTTCTTGTGGAAGGTTTCTTTTGGACTGGCCTCCACTGCGCTCGTCCTCGCGGTGGCAAGGAGGGCGAGTTCACACGCCGTGGCAGTTCAGCGAGTGGTCTGAATTGGGGAAGGCCGCGCTCTCGACATCGTCTTCGTCCGCGCGGCGGGGGCGGGGGGGGGGAGCAAGCGAGCGAGCGGAAGCCGGGGGGCGTTGGGATCCAGAGGCAGGGGGAAGCACTCAAGCACCTCGCCTCCCCGCTCCAGCAGTTACACGGCGGAGTCACAAGGGCCAGGACCACCTCGCAACCGCCAGGGAAGGGAGAGAGATGGCTGAGCACCTCCAAGCAGCCGCCCGCGGCGGCGCAGACAGGGAACACGGGGCCTGCGGCAGGCCCGTGCTCACCAGCACGAAGCCCGCCGTGGCGACGCGGTGCCCCCACTGGGCCCCCAGCGCCGTGGCCGGGAACCCCCACCACGCGTGGCCCAGCGCGAGAGCCACGAAAAAATATGCACACGTGGCAATAGACGTCGACGGGGAGGCCAAGCTCAAACAGGGTCAGCGAGCCGTCAAGCACCACATGCATACTTGGGGCCAAGCCGCCCCAGGCAAAGCAAAAATTATCCCAGTGCGACCTTACCTAGGAGTTGGAGCCCCTAGGAGAGCAGCATTAGTAGTAACAGTAAAGCTAAGCTAAAGCTACAGCTAAGCTAAAGCTAAGCTAAAGCTAGTATAAAGCTAAGCTGAAGCTAAGCTAACTATAAGCTGAAGCTAAGCTAAAGCTGAACTAAAGCTAAACTAAAGCTAATCTAAAGCTATGCTAAAGCTATGCTAAAGCTATGCTAAAGCTAAGCTAAAGCTGAAGCTAAGCTGAAGCTAAGCTAAAGCTAAGCTAAAGCTAAAGCTCCCAGGGGCCTGGGGGAACCGCGGGGCGGATCCTGGGGGAACCGACCGGGGCGAGGTCCACTGCCCGACCCTTTAAGCAAACCGAGTAAGAACCCTTCTAGGCAGAGCCTAGGTAGGGAACAACTTGACTCGCCCCACGGAACACCCAGGCGCCAGCATGGCCGCACTCGCCTGGGCCACTGGCCAGGCTTGGCCACGGGGGCACACGACCCTGCACGAAACAGGGAAACAAAGTTAAGCGAGTTGACGGAGCCCTCGAGGATCAAACACGACATCAGGGGCTCAGAAACACGCACACACATGACATGACATGACAGCCCACGCGGGTCAAACACAACAACGTATGGGCTGCCAAAAATTTGGACGATGGTCCCGCTAATCAGATTCCTCCGAAACATCATCATTATCGAAAACACGCCCGAGCTCCACGGCCTCTTGATATTGTAGTGGCCTTCGGCCAGTGCCGCCGATCCGGGTCGCTCGGTGTTATTCTCCAGACGCAGACGTTATGGGCGCACACTCAAACGCACAAACTTCTCGGGTTACCTTCGAAAGGGCGTAGGAATGCAGTTGGGTCAATAGAGCCATCTCGCAACAGTGGTTCTATCAACGGCGGGGTGCTTGCAGTGACCGTGGGGACGGGAAATAATAATGACATGAAAATTCCATACAGGATGCCGATCACTTTGGAAACTCACGATACGTCGTGCACGGAGTCGTGTTACGAAACATGTGGCCTGGACGATGTGGTGCGAGCGGTGGAGGCGAGCCTATCGGCGCAAGGACGCCCTCTTGGGGCGTTTTTTGAGCCATCTTAGGAGCCTGTCAGGGCGTCGTGGGGGCTTCTTGGGGGCTTTCGGAGGCCCTCTTGGAGGCTCTTGGGGCCTCCTGGGGGCCTCGTGGGCTGGAAGGCTAGATTTTTTCCGCTTTTCGTCCCTCTTTTGGGTCCTCTTGGGGCCGTCTTGGGGGCCTGTTGGGCCGTCTTGGGCGGCTCTTGGGCCGCCTTGGGGCCCTCTTGGGCCGTCTTGGGACTGTCTGGGGGCCTCCTGGGCCGTCTTCGAGCGGTCTTGGGGGCATCTTGGGCCGTCTTGGAGCGTCTGAAAGCCGAAAAAAGCGACAACCCCAAAAACATTGAAAAAAAAACAATGGGAATCAACTATTTTTGCCTCTGGGGGCCATCGTGGGAGGCCTCTTGGAGGCCTCTTCAGACGTCGTGGAAGGCTCTTGGGCCGTCTTGGGGCCATCTTAGGCGTGTTCGGGCGATCCTTCGGGGTCTCGGGACTTTCGTAGACCGTCCTGAGAGACTTTTGCGGCCGCGGCCACCCTTCCAGCGCATCCTCGAGATTAGAGCCTTCTGTAAAAGCAGCGCCCCGCATCCGCCGGAAACTCGCACCCCCCCCCCATCCCCCCTTCCCCGGCAGAGCCACCCCGGCAACCCCCCCAGAGGCTACGGCCTCTTGATATTCAAGACCGCGCGCTCGGATAATATTT